TTCCAATTATAGGGGCATTATGTCATTGAGCCTCTCAGGTTAAGTCTACGCAAAAGAGCTTGAAGGAAGTGCCGCGGACTAACTGACTCCAGAGCAATGTGGCTTTCGGGTCGGTCGAAGCACCTCTGACGACATATTTTGTCTGCGCCAGATTGTTGAGATATTGTCGGAATACGTTTTGTGGCGTAGAATAAGCCTATGACCGGATCCCACGCTACAGTCTGAGGTCAAGTCTGCGGGCATGCTGGGATTGATGGCCAGCTGCTAGAGGCTATCCAATCATTGTATACTGGTAGCAGGTATTGCGTAAGATTATGTGACGTTAAGGCGAAACCTTTCAACGTTGCACTTGTCTCCGCCAAGGCTGCATCATGCCCCCTCTTTTTTTCTGTTGTGCATGAACAGAATAGTCACGAGAAGCCGGGGCAATGAGTGTATCGATGTGTGAGATGTGAAGACGAGAAGATTGCTGTTTCCAGAAGACCTTGTTTAATTGGCATCTTTTGAAACTGGCTATATGTTGCGAATGCCTCCAGAAATGAAGGCTAAGCAACTATTTCTTGCTAATCCGACCGGAGGAAAGCCCAGGGGACCGCTAAGATTTCCTGGTGCAGATAAATGGAAGAAGTCTTTTCCACACTCCAGTTGTCTTTTGCCGAAGCTCAGACTCTGGCACAGGATTGGGAATGTTGGAAGGTCTGTCTGCCGCGTCTGCCTCTGCGTCCCAAAAGGAGAAGCGGCGATGGTAGATGAAGAAAAGGATTAAATGAAACTAATCTACAGTGCTCCCTCTAAAGGTCCGTAGCCGAGTGCGATCTGACCGGCATGCATGTGAGCGCTTCTAAAACGAAACCCTAGCACTTTTTCATTCTCCTGCCCGTTGCTCTGTTCACATTAACGGAGTGGCAGCGGAGTAGGTGGAGAAGTTCAGGTACCTCGGAGTCGTATTTACTAGTGATGGAAAGTTGGAGGAAAAGATCGACCGGCGAATTGGAGTAGCCAGTGGCGTTCTGCG